CCCGCACATCAGTTCAGCGCTCTATCCACTGAGCTAACGGGAGGCGGTTATGGATGTCCTCCCCTGAGGTGAGATGGGTGGGATTTATTGGGTGGACTACTCGCATGGTTCGCATATGTTCCGTTCTAGTCCTACCCTACGGCGGTAATGCAGTGAAAATGGTTAGAAAAGAAATGAAGAGAAAAAAAAAAAGAAACGAACACTTGAAGGGGTCTGGGTGCCAGGGAAGCCCGGCCTGCTAAGTAAGAAAGCTTGGTTACAAAGTTAACCCGAAAACGTGGTTTCTTCGTTCGTTATTCTTTATCTACAATGGCAGACAGTAATTCATGTGCACTTGTGATGAGATTGCAAAAAGAAAAGAGAGTTGTGGCCTTACCTTTCATTTTAATTTACCTAATCATTCTAAGCAACATATGGCAATCTGCGGTCTTTCCTTGCACTTAGGTAGCACGGAAAGCCGTAAAAATCTTCAACAAAAGCTCATCTTTCAAACCGGCAGTCTAAATCCCACAGGGATCAACGAACGCTTTTCATTCCACTTATTTATTCTTGTTTTTCTCGTCTTCACGTTATACAACTTAGATAATAGGGAACTTTAGCAATACAGCTTTTTGCGACGGTGACCGGAAGCCCGACTTACTTCCGCTTGAAGTCTTACATTTTCACGCGCAGCCGTCCTCTCTTTGCGCGGACATGAGAGCAGAGCGACTTTCGAGTTGTCCACAAAACGTAAGCACATTACTTTGTTTAACACTGTAAATATGTACCATTTCTTTCACTTTTCACGTCCGAAAGCTTCAAAACAAACTAAACAATACTCAGTATTGTTGACTTTTAACCTGACTTTTTCGGTTATTCAGTGATGTGTGTAATGGTCCTCTTTTTTTCAATTCCGAGACATGGCTACGAACACAAGGACAAACGAAGGTAAACAGTAAGTTCACACAAGTAAAAATCTAGTTAAAAATAGAAAACAGGCAACTCATAATTCACGATAATAGCTAACCTCAGTGAATAGTGTCTGTGACTTCGAGTAACCATTCGATTATTACAGGGAATTTGCGCAATTCAGTGAATTTTAACTACTTGAGTGTAGGTTAAAGAAGTTTACGCGAGGATATAAGTTGAACTCAGCGAAATGTTCAAGTGTGCGCCAGCAATAAGTTTTGTTTCAGCATACTTTCTAACTCATGTTTTAATACTTTATGTAGAGTACCGATGGAGTGGACCGAACACGACGTGTCAATGCTCAGGGAAATGGTTGTCAGCGACGTTTTTGCTTTCAAGAAAGGAAGCGTCAGCCGGAGGGAAGCGTGGAATTCGATAGCTGAAAAACTAAATCAGTTCAATTTTCCAATGTTTCGTATCAAAGACAAGAGAGGAGTTAGACAGCGCTGGGGATTGCGTAAACGAAAATTC